AAAAATTCCATTTGACCCAGCAATCCCATTACTGGGTATATATCCAAAGGATTATAAATCATTCTTTTATAAGGACGCGTACACATGAATGTTCACTGCAGCACTGTTTACAATAGCAAAGACCTGGAACAAACCCAAATGCCCATCGATGATAGACTGGACAGGGAAAATGTGGCACATATACACCATGGAATACTACGCAGCCATAAAAACAATGAGCTTGTGTCTTTGGAGGGACATGGATGAACCTGAAAACCATCATTCTCAGCAAACTGACACAAGAACAGAAAATCAAACACTGCATATTCTTACTTATAGGTGGGTGTTGAAAAATGAGAACACGTGGACACAGGGAGGGGAGTATCACACACTGAGGTCTGTGTGGGGGAACTAGGGGAGAGACAATAGTGGGTGGGGTGTTGGGGAGGGATAACATGGGGAGAAATGCCAGATATAGGTGATGATGAGGAAGGCAGCAAACCACATTGCCATGTATGTACCTATGCAACAATCCTGCATGTTCTTCACATGTACCCCAAAACCTAAATTGCAATAAAATATATTTAAAAAAAAAAAAACAAAACAGTGCCCTCTCCAACCTGAAAGCACAGGACCATCACAAGTTGTATCTGAGGATTTTCTCCTTATTTACAAAGTAATTATCATGGAGGTGTAATCATTTTCTGTTCCACTAGAAATTAACTCCAAGGCCTTTCTGCCCCTAAAGCCAACAGTACACTTTCATTTGTTTCCCATTTCAAATTATATCCACTCACGTTGTCCAACATAATCTATCTAAGCGTCTGAAAATAAGAGCAAAAGTCAAATTAGGATAGTCCAATAATAATATGCCAGCAGGAGATTCCCAAATCTCAAATATATCTTCTCAAATTTTAATATTTTAAGGAAAAAATTAAAATACAAAGATTAAATCCTGTTACAAACAAAAGCCTTCAAAATCTAAATGAATCTCTCAAATTCAACAATCATGTGCTTTTTTCTTAAGCCTAAAGAAATAAAATTCCCCCCAAATATCTTATTATTCTGGATCTTAGAGATAATTCTTGTTGATTCTATGGAATTGGATTTACTCCATAGCCACAGACTGGGGGTCATCAAAGGAAATGAGGTAGCTTTCCTAGGACATCACAGCCATCTCTCTCATATGAACCACTTAAAAGTTTCCAAAGAAATAACACGGAATTTCTGCAGTGTGGCTGATAGATATCTTAGAAGCACTCCACAAAAAAAAAACGCAAACACTTCTAGATAAAACACATATTAATACATTAAGTTTATAGGAATGAGGAGAAATCTCCAAGTCACCACTCCTCTGTCAAAATAAAACCAACTCATGAGCTGAAACCTGAATAGGGAGTGGTTAATGCTAAGTGGTGGTAAAAGGTGGGGTTGTCCACATAATTGTCCTAACCACAATAACTTTGGATTGGTGAGGAAGCTGAAATTGAGATTTCTGCATTAGGTCTGGAATCTGTTTCCAGCATAACAAAATGCAATTCCCCTTTCTCCTAAGGCGAGTATCTTCAATTCTTATTATTCAAGTCAATCAAATATAAATTTTGGGTTATAAGGGCGGAATGGGAGGCAGGACTATTTTGCAGCTCTTATTCGGATGGACAGAGCAGAGTGTGGAGGCTAGCATCGTTAATTTTAGCTCCAAATCTGCTGCAAAAACAAACCAGGATTACCAAGAGGACCCACAGACCCTCTGAAGGAAGTGGACTGCTCCTGCAGGACCCGGGAGACACCCCAAATACTGTGAATGCCCTAACTGAGGAAGTGGGAAAGAAAGATCCTCCTCTCCCAAACATACATCGCCACTGGAGAAACAGAAGATCTCCTTGCCGGAGAAGTTTCCGACCTTACCTGGAGCTAAGTCAATTTAGAGAGCCAAGCAAAATACAGGGTAGAAGCAGCAGGAAAGGCCATGGGAGCTCACTGTGTCACCAAACAGACCATTCCTGCCTGGCACCACTGGGATCCATGGTAGGGCGGCCGGAGGAGGGGAGGATGGATGGGAAACACTACAGGGAGAAGGAATTCTCGAGCTAAACCTTGTAACAATTTGAACCAGGTGAGAAGCATCCTGGCAAGAATTCAGGGAAGGGCCACAAATCTGGTGTGCAGACTCCACAGGTGGGGGAAGAACAAAGTCCTTTACTTTTGCAGCTGGGAGGTGGATATCCAGGCTCACCCAAAAGGGGCATGGTGGGAATGAGACCAGCCCTTAAGTTGTGTGGGAGCTGGGTGAAGCCTGTGACTGATGGCTTTCCCTCACTTCCCTGAAGTCCTACATGACTTAACACAGGCAGCCATAATCCTCCTAGGTACATAACTCCATTAATCTGGGAACCTTATTGTCATCCACCATAGCAGATGCAGGAAGATCCACCAAAGGAGAACCTGAGCTCAGAGAAGCCTAGCCCTGCCTCACCTGATGGGCCTTCCCTATTTACCGTAGTAGCTGAAGACAAAATGCATATAATCTTGGGAGTTCTAGGGCCCCACCCACAGCCAGTTCCTCTCCAATCTACAACAGCTGTTGCTCTCTGGAAAGCACTATCTCCTGGCCAATGAGCACAAAAACAGAGCATTAAACCACCAAAGCTAAGAACGCTCACAGAGTTCATTACACCCACCCTGCCACCTCCACAGGTGCTGGTATCCATGGCTGACAGACCCATAGATGGTTCACAGGCCTCTGTGCAGACAACTAACCCCAGTACCAGCACAGAGCTGGGTAGACTTGCTGGATGACTAGATCCAGAAGAGAGACAACAATCACTGCAGTCCAGCTCACAGGAAATCACATCCATAGGAAAAGGGATAGAGTACTATTGCAAGGGAACACATCATGGGACAAAATAGTCTGAACAATAGCCTTCAGCTCTAGGCATTCTCTCTGACAGAGCCTACCCAAATGAGAAGAAACCAGAAAAATAACTGGTAATATGACAAAACAAGGCACTTTAACACCACTCAAAAATTACCCTGGTTCACCAGCAATGGATCCAAACCAAGAAAAAATCCTGATTTACCTGAAAAAGAATTCAGGAGGTTAGCTATTAAGCTAATCAAGGAGGCACCAAAGGAAGGCTATTAAGCTAATCAAGGAGGCAACAAAGAAAGGCAATGCTCAATGCAAGGAAATCAAAAAAATGATACAAGAAGTGAAGGGGGAAATATTCAAGGAAATAGATAGCATAAAGAAAAAACAATCCCAACTTCAGGTGATTATTGGACACACGTATAGAAATGCAAGATGCTCTGGAAAGTCTTAGTCATAGAATTGAACAAATAGAATAAAGAAATTCAGGGCTCAAAGACAAGGTTTTCGAATTAACCAAGTCCAATAAAGACAAAGAAAAGGGGATAAGAAAATATGAACAAAGCCTCGAAGAAGACTGAGATTTTGTTAAACTAACAAATCTAACAATAATTGGTGTTCCTGAAGAAGAAGATAAATCTTGGAAAGTTTGGAAAACATATTTGTGAGAATACTTGAGGAAAGCTTCCCAAGCCTTACTAGAGACCTAGACATCCAAACACAAAAAGCACAAAGAACACCTGGGAAGTTCATCATAAAATGATCATCACCTGGACACATTGTCATCAGTTTAAAGTTAAGATGAAGAAAAGAATTTTAAGAGTTGTGAGACTAAAGCACCAGGTAATCTATGAAGAAAAATCTATCAGATCAACAAGAGATTTCTCAGCAGAAACCCTATAAGATCAGGGGATTGGGACCCTAACTTCAGCCTCCTGAAACAAAAAAATATTATCAGCCAATAATTTTGTAATTAGTAAATCTAAGCATCATATGTGAAGGAGACATATGACTTTTTTCAGACAAGCAAATGCTGAGAGAATTTGCCACTATCAAGCCATCACTACGATAACTGCTAAAAGGAGCTCTAACTCCTGAAAGAAATCCTGGAAACACATGAAAACAGAACCTCTTTAAAGCATAAATCACACAGGACCTATCAAACAAAAATACAAGTTAAAATTTAAAAAAAAGAAAAAAAAAACACAGGCAACAAGTAGCATGATAAATGCAATGGTACATCACATTTCAATAATAACACTGAATGTAAATGGCCCAAATGCTTCACTTAAAAGACACAGAACCAGAGTGGTAAGAGAAGGCATACTTGTCTTGCGCCAGTTTTCAAAGGGAATGTTTCCAGGTTTTGCCCAGTCAGTATGATATTGGCTGGGGGTTTGTCATAAATAGCTCTTATTATTCTGAGATACGTTTTATCAATATCTAGTTTCTTGAGAGTTTTTAGAATAATGGGATGTTGAATTTTATCAAAGGCCTTTTCTATTGAGATAACCGTGGTTTTTGTCTGGTTCTGTTTATGTGATGAGTTATGTTTATTCATCTGTATATGTTGAACCAGCCTTGCATCCCAGGGACAAAGCCAACTTGATGGTGGTGGATAAGCCTTTTTTTTTTTTTTTTTTTGAGTCCCACTCTGTCACCAGGCTGGAGCACAGTGGTGGAATCTCAGCTCACTGTAACCTCCACCTCCCCAGTTCAAGCAATTCTCCCACCTCAGCCTCCCAAGTAGCTGGGACTACAGGTGCACACCACTACACCCAGCTCATTTTTGTATTTTTAGTAGAGACAGATTTCACCATGTTTGCCAGGATGGTCTTGATCTCTTGACCTCATGATCCACCCATGTTCGCTTTCCAAAGTGCTGGGATTATAAGCGTGTACTACCACACCCAGCCTGGATAAGCTGTTGGTGTGCTGCTCAATTTGGTTTGCCAGTATTTCATTAAGGATGTTTGCGTAGATGTTCATCAGGGATATTGGCCTCAAAATTTTCTTTTTTGTTGTGTCTCTGCCAGGTTTTGATATCAGGACAATGCTGGCCTCATAAAATGAGTTAGGGAGGAGTTCCTCTTTTTCTATTGTTTGGGGTACTTTCAGAAGGAATGGTACCAGCTCCTCTTTGTACCTCTGATAGAATTAAGCTGTGACTGTATCTGGTCCTGGGCTTTTTTTGGTTGGTAGGCTATTAATTACTGCCTCAGTTTCAGAACTTGCTGTTGGTCCATTCAGGGATTCAGAGTTTTCCTGGTTTAGTCTTGGGAGGGTGTATGCATCAAGGAATTTATCCATTTCTGCTAGATTTTTTAGATTATTTGCACAAAGATGTTGATAGTATTCTCTGATAGTAGGTTGTATTTCTGTGGGATCAGTGGTGATATCCCCTTTACCATTTTTTATTGTGTCTATTTTATTCTCTCTTTTCTTCTTTATTGGTCTGATTCATGGCCTATCTATTTTGTTGATCCTTTTTTAAAAACCAGCTCCTGTATTTATTGATTTTGTGAAGACTCTTTCATGTCTCTATCTCCTTCAGTTATGCTCTATATTAGTTATTTCTTGTCTTCTGCTGGCTTTTGAATTTGTTTGCTCTTGCTCCTGTAGTTCTTTTAACTGTGATGTTAGGATGTTGATTTTAGTTCTTTCATGCTCTCTTGTGAGCATTTAGTGCTATAAATTTCCCTTTAAACACTGCTTTCACTGTGTCCTAGAGATTCTGGTATGTTGTGTCTTCATTCTCATTGGTTTCAAAGAACATGTTTATTTCTGCCTTCATTTCATTATTTACCCAGTAATCATTCAGGAGCATGTTGTTCAGTTTCCATGTAGTTGTGTGGTTTTGAGTGAGTTTTTTAATCCTGAGTTCTAATTTGATTGCACTGTGGTCTGAGAGACTGTTTGTTATGATTTCTTTTCTTTCTCATTTGCTGAGGAGTGTGTTACTTCCAGTTATGTGGTCAATTTTAGAATAAGTGTGATGTAGTGCTGAGAATAATGTATATTATGTCAATTTGGAGTAGAGAGTTCTGTAGATGACTAGAAGGTCTTCTTGGTTCAGAGCTGAGTTCAAGTCCTGAATATCCTTGTTAATTTTCTGTCTCATTGATCTGTCTAATATTGACAGTGAGGTGTCTAGGTCTCTTTGTAGATCTCTAAGAACTTGCTTTATGAATCTGGGTGCTCCTGTATTGGGTGCATATATATTAAGGATAGTTAGCTCTTCTTGTTGCATTGATCCCTTTACCATTATGTAATGTCCTTCTTTGTCTCTTTGGATCTTGGTTGGTTTAAAGTCTGTTTGATCAGAGACTAGGATTGCAACACTGCTTTTTTTGCTTTCCATTTTCTTGGTAAATATTCCTCCATTCCTGTATTTTGAGCCTATATGTGTCTTTGCATGTGAAATGGGTCTCCTGAATACACACTGAAGAGTCTTGATTTTTTATCCAGTTTTTCAGTTTGTGTCTTCCAGTTGGGCATTTAGCCTGTTTACATTTAAGGTTAATATTGTTAAGTGTGAATTTGATCTTGTCATTATGACACTAGCTGGTTATTTTGTCCATTAGTTGATGCAATTTGTTCATAGTGTTGATGATCTTTACAATTTAGTGTGTGTTTGCCGTGGCTGGTACCAGTTTTTCCTTTCCATGTTTAGTGCTTCTTTCAAGTGCTCTTGTAAGGCAAGTCTGATGGTGACAAAATCTCTCAGCATTACTTGTATGTAAAGGATTTTATTTCACTTTTGCTTATGAAGCTTAGTTTGGCTGGATATGAAATTCTGTGTTAAAAATCATTTTCTTTAAGGATGTTGAATATTGGCCCCCACTCTATTCTGGCTTGTAGGGTTTCCGCAGAGAGACCCACTGTTAGTCTCATGGCCATCCCTTTTTGGGTAACCCAACCTTTCTCTCTGGCTACCCTTAAAATTTTTTCCCTAATATCAACATTGGTGAATCTGACAATTATGTGTCTTGGGGTTGCTCTTCTTAAGAAATATCTTTGGAGAGTTATCTATATTTCCTGAATTTGAATGCTGGCCTGTCTTGCTAGTATTGAAAGTTCTGGCCAGGGCAATCAGGCAAGAGAAAGAAGTAAAAGATATTCAAATAGGAAAAGAGGAAGGCAAATTGTCTCTGTTTGCTGATGAAATGATTGTATATTTAGAAACTATCATTAGAATGAACTGACAACCAACAGAATGGTAAAAAATTTTTGCAATCTACCCATCTGACAAAGGGCTAATATCCGGAATCTACAAAGAACTTTAAAAAAATTATGAGGAAAAAACAAACAACCTCATCAAAAAGTGGGTGAAGGATATGAACAGACACTTTTCAAAACAAGACGTTTATGCAGCCAACAAACATATGAAAAAAAGCTCATCATCACTCGTCATTAGAGAAATGCAAATCAAAACCACATTGAGATATCACCTCATGCCAGTTAGAATAGCAATCATTAAAAAAATTGGAGACAAGAGATGCTGGAGAGGATATGGAGAAATAAAAGTGCTTTTACACTGTTGGTAGGAATGTAAATTAGTTCAAACACTGTGGAAGACAGTGTGGTAATTCCTCCAGGATCTAGAAAGAGAAATATTATTTGACTCAGCAATCCTATTACTGGGTATATACCCAAAGGATTTATAAATTATTCTATTATAAAGGCACATGCACACATATGTTCATTGTGGCACTATTTACAATAGCAAAGACTTGGAACCAACCCAAATGCCCATCAATAATAGACTGGATAGAGAAAATGTGACACATATATGCCATGGAATACTATGCAGCCATAAAAAAGGATGAGCTTGTGTCCTTTGCAGGGACATGGATGAAACTGAAAACCATCACTCTCAGCAAACTGACACAAGAACAGAAAACCAAACACCACATATTCTCACTGATAAATGGGAGTCGAACAATGAGAACACATGGACGCAGGGAGGGGAATGTCACAAATGGGTCTGTCGGGGCTAGGGGGCTAGGGGAAGGACAGTGTTAGGAGAAATACCTAATGTAGATGACAGGTTGATGGGTGGAGCAAACTATCATAACACATGTATACCTATGTAACAAACTTGCACATCCTGCACGTGTATCCCAAAACTTAAAGTACAATAATTAAAAATAAAAATAAATTTTAAAAAAGATAAGAACCAAAGAATCAATAAGAACTCACTAACCAACTATCTGCTACCTTCAGGAGACTTGCCTAACACATAAGGACGGACATGAACTTAAAGGAAAGGGATGGAAAAAGGCATTCCACGTAAATGTACACCAAAAGTGAGGAGGGGTAGGTATTCTTATACCAGACAAAACAAACTTTAAAGCAACAGCAGTTGTAAGAGAAAAAGGGAGACATTATATAATACACACACACACACACACACACACACGTACACACACACACACACGCATATATATGAGGGACAAGGTAAAAGGTATCGTCAAACAGGAAAGTATCACAATCTTAAACATATACACACCTAACATTGGAGCCCCCAAATTTATAAAACAATTACTAATAGACCAAAAAAAAATGAGATAGACAGCAACACACTAAAGTGGGGGACTTGAATACTCCACTGACAGCATTAGTCAGTTCATCAAGACAATCAACAAAGAAAAACTGGATAGTGTAACTATACCTTGGAACAAATGGGCTTAATAGATATGTAAAGGACATTTCATCCAATAACTGCAAAATACACATACCATTCAATAGTACATGGAAATTTCTCCAAGATAGACCATATGATAGGCCATAAAATGAGCCTTGGTAGATTTAAAAAATTTGAGATTGTATCAAGCACTCTCACAGACCCCAGAGGAATAAAACTGGAAATCAACTTCAAAAGGAACATTCAGAATCATGCAAATACATGAAAATTAAGTAATTTGCTCCTGAATGAGCATTGGGTTAAAAACACAATCAAAATGGAAACTTAAAAAATTCTTTGAATGGAATGACAATAATGACACAACCTATCAAAACCTCTGGGATACAGCAAAGGCAGTGATAAGAGGAAGGTTTATAGCCATAAATGCCTACATAAAAAAGACTGAAAGAGCACAAACTGGCATTCTAAATTCATACCTCAAGGAACTAGAGAAACAAGAACAAACCAAACCCAAACCCAGCAGAAGAAAAAAAAAATAACCAAAATCAGAGAAGAACTAAATTAAATTGAAACAGCAACGAGAATACAAAAGATAAATGAAACAAACAGCTGGTTCCTTGAAAAGATAAATAAAATTGGTAGACCATTGGCAACATCAACCAAGAAAAAAGAAAAAATTCAAATAAACTCTTTAGGAAACAAAATAACACCAATGAAATACAAGAGAATACTCAAGGATACTATGAACACCTTTATGGACTTAAACTAGAAAACTTAGAAAAGATG